TGTTAGTGTCTTCTGATTGAAAAATAATTTTCCTTCTGATCCGAGGGACACGTATAAGATGGATATCAATTTTTTGTCTGTCTCCTCTGGACGCATTCCATCAAACTTCTTGAGTTCCAATTTTTGGAGGCTGATTTTTCTTATTCGAATCGTCTTTTTCCTGCCAGGTTTCGTTGCAAACAATTGTTCTTTTGACCTTCAGTTTCATTGGAGTTATAGCATTTGAAGACAAGTGGAGTTATCGCATTTTTTTTACTGGATTGAGCTGCAGATTGTTATCTATTTTCTCTTTAGCTATGGTTGTTAATTGGATTAGATCGCTCCAATCTTCCAAGAGAGCTAGAGGGTCAATTTTGTGTTTTTCCGCTAGAGTTTTTGAAGTTCTCCCATGCTTGATTAGTTCTTGTCTTACTGCGTAGTATTAAATTAATCTAATGCTTTTGCTTAAACTATTTAAAAGAATAAGAATAAATTTTAAATAAGTAAATAAATTAATCGTAAGATTATTAGATAAAAAGGGGAGCATGATCACTCCGAAGGAGTGTGTTAGATTGAAGGTCAGACTAAGAACTGTTCAGTTAAAAAGACAAATAAATAAGGATATGAAATCAGATCATAACATCCATCTTGGCGGCAAAGTTGCGGCTGAACTTTTATGACGCTTAAGTCATGTGATAGCCAACTTTGGTTTCAAAAGTCTGCACATATCAAATATGGATCGCAATTTGTCGGTCGCACTATCTCTGATTCGGTTGCGACAATTCATTGTGGTCGCGAAAGTCTTCTCACGGGAAAAGTTAGAGGCGAAAGCCCGGACATGAGTCTGGGACCTCGCCACGGGAAGTGTTACTTTGCATTAGATTGCAATTCACAACCAAATAAAAACAAGGATAGATGGTTGTAAATAGCACAGAATGTTCCGAGCACGGTATCAAAAAATATAAAAATGTTTACTCAAGCTGGTGTTGTTTTTTTCTGCTATGTTGTGATAAAGCACCGAATGTTTCGAACACAGTCTTAAAAATATGTAAAAATGTTTTCTCAAATTGGTGTCGTTTTTTTTATATTGTAATAAAAAATCAGAAAGAGTTTTTAAAAATTAGGATTTAATGGGAGTCATTTTAAAGTAGATCAATTGATAAACAATTTTTGAAAAAAAAAATTGAAAAAAATGTCAAACATTTATTGGAAAACTTTTGCGGTAATTTTTAGAATTTTCAAGTTTTTGATTTCACAAAATAACCCAATCAGCACCTCTCTTCATATCTTTTTCATAGCATAACATCATACGCAATTTTTTTACGTATTGATTTCAGGAAACTTTAATTAGAGCAAACTAATGTTCAGAATATTAGAATGAATCCGCCCCCTCCCCCACCCAATTAGCTCGTGAGAAATATTTCAAATAAACTTCAGCATCTTAAGGCAAAACCACTTCCTTTTTGAAAAATCCCCCCCCCCCCCCCACCTCACATATCCGTTTAGGGGGAGGATGTTAACTTGGGTTTGGTGGGAATTTTTTCAAATTAAACTTTTTTGTGGCTTTGTTGTAATTTTTAAAGAAAGCTACGATAAAATTGATATGAAGGAGAGAGAAAGAGCAATTTCATCAGGAGTGCCACGAATGGGTATCTTTAAAATTCAATTGGTATTCATTGGCTTCAAACTTAATTTTGTACCAGCCATGCGTTTTACATAGGCTTCGACACTTTGAAACGGAATATAAACTTTCCAAATTTGTCAATTTTGTTCGCTTTAGATGTTTAGATGCTATTTGACGTCATTGAAGTTGATCAACAAAGATCAAATCTAAGCAATTAAACCTTTACATGGCTTTGTGTCTAAGCTGTACCCACATTTGCATCTTAGTTGCCCAAATATAACAATAAACTCCTTGGTCACTTTTATTCAGTTTAGACTATTGTGTGTTTTGAGTTGAAAAGTGCCTTCTTTATTCGCCTTATCGAATTTATTATAACTAAGTTAAACTAAAATGTCTGACATGCCGCCTAATTACGAACCAGCTGGTGACAAATTTTCACAACCAAACCCAAACCAGGGTCAACAACAATATGGATACGATACCAGCCCACCCTACCCCCAGGCGCCAAATCAAGGCTATGGAGTTGGAGGAAATGCTCCCCCTCCCGTGAACTATGGGGCTGCAGGGGGTCCCCCACCTTACCCTCAGTACCCCCCTCATCCACAAGGATATGGACCCCCGCCCGTTCAGACTCAACAACCGACGGTTGTCAACCAGACCATCATAAGTAAGGAAAAAACCTTTTCTTTTATTGTATTGGTGTGAACAAAAGTTTTGTGAAAGAAAAGCAGGCGTGGCGTGTAGTCGACAAAACAGTTCACGAAACTGAAAAATGTTGTCTTCTTTTCTAGGTCAGCCGTTTCTATTTTTGAACACTGCAAAAACCATAGAATTACAATATTTTCCAAAGAAAAGTCTCTGCTACAGAAAAATTAGCATTTTTGAACCAGTTTCCAAGTTTTAGACCAAAAAGTTAGACAGCAAAAAAACGTTTTTTTTTGGCGTTAGCTCACCATTTAAATTAGCATTTTTATGGGCACCAAAAGATCATTTATAAAAAACAAAGGCCTGCATCAAAAGAGGATTCCCTAAAACAATACCCAAGATCATAGGTACAAAATGACGCTACTGATTTGTTTTTTTTTTCACGGAGAAGATTAAAGCAGAAGATACATTGCTCCT